TCGCCTTCGGTAGCGCAATCTGATAAAAAAGGAAATAAAACGGCGAGACAAGAAGAAGAGCCGGTCGACAGGCAGGCAGGCAGGCAGGCAAGCATTAAAAAACGCGAATTCACCCGACTGCCGCGGGAAATACTGCGCGGACGCAACAGATGAGCGGCCGGTTGCTCCTTCTCATTATTATGTATGAATAATGTATAGAAAAAAAATATATCATATGAATAACGCATGCGAAGACGGACGTGTGTAATGCGAGCGATAATATTTGTTGTAACGGTAACGCGATAGCGTCCACAAATAGAGAGATGTGCTGTTCGGCGCGTCAGTTTCCTCGAGCTGCCTAAAAACGCGCCGGGATATTTCACAATAATTCGAACTAGGTGGAGGCCGTCGTCGAATATCAGTTTCGCGGATCTCGTGTCTCACGAGGAAAGACGGAGAAAAAAATAACGCGAAACAAACTCTGGGAGAGGTGATACGGGGCGCGCGAGATGCGACGACGAGCCTCTCCTCCTCCTCCTCCCTCGTCGCGGCTACGCGTAGATTTATTGACAAGATTTTTACGACACGCGACACACCACCTGTTTTCACAGCTGTGTGCGTGTGTGTGTGTGTGTGTGTGCGCGCGCACGGGCTCGTCGTCGGGCAAACGAAAATCAGTGGAATCGCACAATCGCGCGAGACCAGAACGGCTCGCAGGCGCGTTTTATGCACTTTCAAGGTTTTCAACAATCGGCGTTACTTTTCGCAGCCTACCTGCCTTCTCCCCTTGCCCCCTCCGAAAAGCCCAGCCCCTTCCCTTGCTACATCCCCCTGGCTCCCCCTGGTAGCCGTGGAGCGTTCACTTTCACTTCGCATAATTTATTCTATACCGAGCGTAAATTGAAGGCGTTTCGTGTATATGTAAGTCGCCAATTTAATAGCGCGATTACGAGGTGAGACGCCTTTTTTCCTCCTTCTCGGCCTCTCTCTTTCTCTCTTTCTCTCGCCTCTGTCTACTCAGCCGCCAGGCCTTTAAAACGTACGACCGCCGCGATGTGTACCTTATGCCGCGAGCAGGAATGCATCACACGCGCGCGCGCACGTTAATATCATTCGACTTTCCATTCGCCGTGTTACGTCTCGCAGCATTGAATTATTTTCGTACGTAAAGAAACGCACAAACGGAGATTGGAATTCCCGGGGTAAACGTGCGCCTCGCGCGAACGTGCGTGCGCGCGCGCTCGGCAGGCCGCGGCTTATCTTCATAATAAATTCGCGAGTCGTTCGGATTCACGGAGAGTTCGGGGGGGAAAAAAAAAAGAAAGAAAGAAAAAAATTCGGCGGTAGTCCGCGAGACGGACTCGGCCGGATGTGGATCGCGCGAGTCGTGCTGCGCGTCTCTGTGTCTCTCTCGCGCTCACATTTTTCTCCTGTCACCGTCCCTCGGTGAGGAGAAAACGCAGAGAGACGGACAAAGGGCGCAGGAGCAACCTTGTGGTCTTTAAAAGCTCGGAGAAAGTGCGATGGATCGATCTGTCTCTCGCTAATATCCTTCTCGCAAGGAGTAAAAACATCTTTTTATGGCAAAAGTTGATCATTAGCTGATCGTCGTTTATTTACGGCGCGGCAAATCCGGCGAAAAATTTCCGAAGGAAAATGGGAAAATGAGAAACGGCGAGGAAAGAACGGACAGAGAGAGGATACGACAGACGAGAGACGGATTTTCTCACGTGGAGTGTACAAGCGGTCGTTACGAGCCCGTTCTGCGGGTTCGTTATTCGAGTTCGAGGAACAGCTGTGCTTTTCGAAGGGCCACGTTACACGCCCCTTTTCTTACGACGCACGGTGTATAAGCCCGGCCGAGAAACTGGCTTCTGGAAGCGCCCCGGGGATCTCTCTCTCTCTCTCGCGCGCGCGCGCGCGTCGTCGTCTTTTAAACGGCATGCGTACCTGATGCGTAACCCTGCTGCTTTCTCTTTTGTCTCTTTCTACCTCTTCCCCTCCCCCCCCCCTCTCTCTCTCTCTCGCCCTCGTTCATTGCCGCTACCTGCATTCTTTATTTTCCACAGAGGGTTGCGGCCGTTTATTTACATATCTGGCTGTCCACCGAATGTCCGAGCGGAAAAGTCCCGAGCGACCTTGCCTCGCGTTCTTTCGCCGTCTTCATCCTCGCGTCTTTCAAGTTTCTCGTCACGGGAAAAACGTTGGAAATCGTGGAACGACAAGAGTGCTGCTCTCTCGCCACGGCACATATTTCAATCCGCGGCGATTACGATCGTTATCCGTTGCTTTATCGACACGCGATCGAGAAATAATTTATCTCACGACGCAATCTTCCTTCTTATTTTTTCTTCTTCCTCTTCTTTGCTCGGGCATGCATTTTTTATTCTATTAATTACGGGTATATGTGCGAAAGAGTAATAACCAAAGTCATAACGCGGTGTGTATCATTTCTTGCTATAATGAAAAAGAAAAAGAAAAAAGGATTGCATCGTGACAGTTATTGCGTCAACTCGTTCGAAATAACAGCGCGAGTTGTTGAGCTTTAATATTAATATTTCATTTATTTAAATGAGAGAGCGCACGTGCTATTTCAAGATACGTGCGTATATAATGCGAGATCACTTCCTCGAAGACTTGATTTTACGCGCGACCAAACCGACGACAACTAATTTATAACGCCGTGATAAACGCGATGCTAAGTCCAATTCATGCGAAACGTTTTCCCGTCCGAAATGAACACGACAGGTCGGAAGTACCGACGATCCGCGGACAGCGAAATTGTTTTATCGAGGTCGTTTTCCGGTTTTATGACGGTCGCGACGTATAAAAGCGCTATTCGACGAATGGGAATTCCAAGTCGCAACAGCAACAAATAAAACAGAAGAGCGAGAATTGAGAGAGAGAGAGAGAGAGAGAGAGAGAGAGAGAGAGAGAGAGAGAGAGAGAGGGAAAGAAAAGGATGTGTTAGCGATAAGCGACGTAGACACGCAACGGGGCACAATATACGCACATTTTCTTTTTCCTTCATCGGACGTCGACACACCAGTCGCGTTCTAATCGCGATATTTTGACGAAGGCATACGTCCCCCTCTCCCAGTCGGCCCCCTTTCCCTTCTGACGATTCCGCCACTTTCGAATCTCGTCCGAGAGGTTAGAATCAGCTGATGTAAGAATTCGCAACCGCTTTATAACGCTTCATGCTCATTAAACCGCGCACTTGGTTTAACAACGGAAAATGGTACGGCCGGAAGATTGACGGCGGGTAATAGAAAAAAAAGGGGGAAAAAAAAGAGAGAGACAGAGGCGTACCTTTCGTGAGTAAAGCATTCCGTCCTACAGCATGCTTAAGTATGCTTATGCGCGTACAAAAGAATGTATACAATAGAGAGACATTCGTATATTCCCCAGAGCGTATTCTCCAGGCTTACTTCGGACATATTTCAGTCTCTCCCAGAGGCAGTTTATCTTTATCGTAACCTTTCACGCGCTATCGAGGATAGTTGGAGAAACCGCCATAAAGTAGGTTCCCCTCGGGCACAAAAAGGACGACTCAGAGATTAGGATTAACATCTCGCAGACTCTGCCTGCTCGATTTTAATCGACGATATGTTAAGTATCCGTACTTAATGATCGCCCGATGTAAAAAAGAACACGGGAAAAATCCGAAACGCACGCCCGAGGAAACGCGCGGCGGGATCGGCTCGCAGAAATTACCACTGACGTGACGTGACGTGACGCGACGCGATGCGATGTGACGAGCCGAGACGAGACAAGACGAAGATGATTCATCTGTTTTCGCGTTCCTCGCATCGCGGAGGATGCTCGGAAAGTCGCAAGAAAGTTACGCGATCGCGTCGGCGAGCAAAAGGGCGGAGGAGGGCAAAGTGGGCGACCTGTTCGCGGAGACGCGTAAAATTCCACACATGCGTCTACTCACCCTTCCCGCCCCCCCCCCTCTCTCTTTCTCTCATGCCGCTGTTACATATGTTACGGTGAGATTTTTCGGCTCAGCTCGGCTCGTTCTCGCTCACGCATTACGTAATTGCCGTTGTCAAAGTGGCAGACATGTCGACATCGCGCGACTCGCTCGCCACACCAAAGCCGCAAAAAGGGCGACCGCGCGCGCTCTCTCGCCGACGAGGGCGTATCGAATTTTCAGATTTGTCGGCCTCGACAAGTACCTGTGAAAAGTCCTCGGGGTTCTCTCACGGGCGAGCCGACGATGGGAGAAGAAAGGGAAAAGGGAAGAGAGAAAGAGAGAGAGAGAGAGAGAGAGAGAGAGAGAGAGAGAGAGAGAGAAAGAGAGCAGCTGTTTGCTCCGAGAGCCAACGTGGCCCTCTCTCGTGCGCGAAAGATCTTCGAGAAGAGCCTTCGAGATCGCTCGGAGAACAGACGAGACGAGGAGAGAACGAGAGAAAGAAGGCCGAGCCCGTCGAAGCGTTCCCAGGCGTCACTGCGACGGCAAGACGTCGTCGGGACGAAATTTCGCACGAAATATGGCGAGCGAGCGAGCGAGCGACACGACGACGATCGGGTGTCTCGCTGTGCCCGTCTTTCTCTTTCTCTCTCTCCCTCTCCCTCTTTCCTTGGCATGATATTACGACACACGTATATACGCGCCGCCACACACGCGTATCGCTGTTTCGTGGCGACAAGTTACACACACGTGTGCACATATGCGCGTGTGAGTGTGCAGTGATCGTGCGTTTCAACGTATGTACGCGAGCACACACGCAACACGCATCAAGCTCGCTTGCTCGCTCACTCGTTCGTTCATTCGTTCGTTCATTCGTTCGTTCGTTCGTTCGTTCGTTCGTTTGTTCGTTCGTTCGTTCGTTCGTCCGTTCGTTCGTTCGTTCGTTCGTTCGTCGCTCGCTCGCACGCGCGCGCAAACGCCGACAAATCACGGCCTCTCTCTTTCTCTCTGTCCCTCTCTCTCTCTCTCTCTCTCTCTCTCTCTGTCTTTCGCTATTGGTGAAATCTGATGAAACTCGAATAGCACGGTAAAGATCACTTACTCTGTTCTTCACGTAGCTGAGAATCTGACGGTGCGCCGAATCGGTGAGCTTGACGAACAGCAGGTTCTTGTTTTCGTCGAAATTGCTTCGCAAACCATACTGGACACCTGCCTCCAGCGTCGCCATTTCTCTGTCTCTCGGCCGTGCACGGCTTCTCTCTCGCGCTCGCACACTCTATCTTGCTTCCTCTCGCGCCAGCGACGGTCCCCCTCGGCGCAGCACACAGCTGACGTCCTCTGCTAGGTTGGCTGCTTCGCTAGCTCGCTCGCCCGCCCGTCGACGTAAAACGACACGACGATGGAACGCACTTCTCACTCCTTTTTCCCGATCTTTTCTCTCTCTCTCTCTCTCCCTCTCTCTCTCTCTCTCTCTAACTCTACCACTATCTCTCTGTCTCGCAGTTTCGTCCGTCTCACTGTCGAACGATCTCTCACGCGCGCGTTCCGCCGCTCGGCGCCAATTTCACGGCGTACAGCCGCCGAACGTGCACTTGCGGCGACGACGACGATATACACGGCCGTGCCGCCGGATGCCGGAACTCGCGATGCGGAACTGGCCGCGGCGCGGAAAACGACGGTAAGGAAAACGACGCACACGCGGAGACGGTGTGCTGCCCGTCACCGATACCGAGACTGCGAGACGACGTGATCTTCGTCGAGACGACGGCGAACGTTCTCACGCGCACTGCGAACTTGGCACATCAAAGCGTCCTCGTTGTCGCCGCCGCCGCCGTCGTCGTCGTCGTCGTCGTCGTCGTCGTCGCCGCTGTCGCCGCCGCCGCCGTCGTCGTCGTCGTCGTCGCGAAACGTAACGTTTCTGTTCCTCGTCACGCTCGCTCACCACCTTCGCGCCTCGTCGTCACTTCCAGATATCCCTGCGAGCTCTTCTCACGTCTCTCGTCGACGCACTACTACCTCGCAGCTGCGACACCCCCGGACACCGTGTACAGTCACCGCTGCGAGAACCGACCGAAGTAGCACCCCGTGCCGACGACGTGAAGCAACAACTACCCTCACCGCGCTCGCGACACGCTTGCTCGTCTCCTCCAGGTTTCCTCGCGGCCGTCACATATTAGCGGGCGGAACACGTATCATTTCGGATTTTTCCTGTGATTGGACACGAACTCGCTGAGAGAGGAGAGCAGCGCCCGTCGTTTCGCCGTAACGTACTACACAACTACACACTTTCGAACGGACACCTGGTAGGCGGGGTCGGCGGAAGGAGACGTCGGCCAATCGCGACGCGTTCACTACGAGCCCGAACGATAACCGTACTGTCCTCCCGCGGCGATGTCCGGCGACCGACTGCGATCGACTGTTCTCGGCTCCGTTCGTTGTGCCACGTACTCGTGTCACCATCTATGCTTGTGACGTGAAGTATGCGCGACGGTTACGTCACCGCGGTGGTTTTCATGCGTCTCGGCTTCTTCCTAGGGACAAAGACGAAAAACGGGATGACGTTTCCTCGTTTGTGTGTGTGTGTGTGTGTGTGTGTGTGTGTATGTACACTGTGCGCTCTGTATTCGTTAAACGCATCTCGCGTACTACATTTAAGATCTTAAGATCGCCTTGTGTCCTCATCTTTCGTCTTCGAATGCTTCATCTTTAGACCAGCCAATGAAAACATGATTCGTGCAATATCGCAAGATAAATTCAAGATGATCGTAGGGGTCTTCCTCGAGGAACTTTTGAACTTGATGCACACTGCAATAAGATGGAATGAGAGAAAATATATCTGTCTCGTTCCAACTTGCATTGCGCCAGTTCGGAGGTTCTTGCAGAAAAAGAACCTATAGGAAATGTAAAATCCGAGATTTCGAATCTGAATCGCACGCGGATCTGACAATTTTGTGGAAATTTCCTGTTGATTACTAAAATCGCCGATGATTATTCTATCGTGTGCAGAATGAAATATCGTTTGGACATAGCTTGTGTTCCGATATTCACTGCCAGCACTGAAGATCTATAGTATATGTGACATAAAGTATGCATTTTCAGTACTGGCGGTGAATATCGGAACGCAGCTATAGTAACAATCGGATCTTGGGACTTTTTCACAACAAAGCATCGCGGAATTTTACACTCTAACGAACGTCTAACAATCTCTGCGTCGAAACAAGATGGCAGAGAGAATCGAATTCCATCGACGCAAGTGTGCGAATACCTTTTGCAATCAGACTCGACGAATTCTCAAGATCTAATCCTTCCGAGCACATGTCGTCTAGGAACTTTACGAACGGAATATTCATGACTTGGTAGCAGTGTCTCGAGCTATCTCGACGTAAGAATTGGCTTTCGTTTACGTCGTAACAGTTGTCTCAATAATTCGGATATTGTGATATTTATTTCGCAATGGCTAATTTCAAAACACTGAGACCATTGGCTAGTGTGTATTCCTTCGGGCTGTTAATGCACTTTCACTGGACACTAACAACTGACTACTTTAACGGGCAGGCAGATCTGATAGGCCCGCGCCCAAGAATTCCGGATGCGGAACAGCTGAAGGTAACCTTTGCGACCATAGCGACTTGAATATGCCCTGTTCGTTAGCCGTCTGATTTTATGAATCCCGGCTCGTCGTTGAGTGCTATCGTAATTTTGTAACTTTGCAATTGTTGAGGCCGGAATTAAGTTTAACCGATTTTGGCAAAGGTAGCTCTTCGGTCGCACACAGGTTAGGTGCAGTTGCCGACGGTGAAATGACGATTCTCTGTTTATTTCAGAAAGAGCTGTTGTTTGCTGAAGAATGTAGGAAACATATGTTCCCGCCCAAAGAACGATTAGTCAAAGTTAATTAGGACAACGCATGTGTAGAGAGACGAAGCTCTGACTTTGTTAATATAATTTTGCGACAGATGTATGTGTGTGGCTTCCCATGAAGGGGGACATGTTGCGATTAATAAATGTAACAATCTATAACCACGTCTCGACCACAGAATCGGAACTTGCGAAAATTCCGATATTATATGATTCTTGTAGCGCGCTCTGAGTTATATCCAAGCTTCCTCTGCTTGGTTATTTTACTTCTCGGTCGCACAATTCAGCGTCTAATCGCACAGATGAACTCAGTGATACTATTATTTTATCATTATTAATCAATGAGAGAAACGGGAATATTTTTAAAATAATGTTACCTCTCTCTCCCGTCGAGTTGCACGCATCACGACCTCGTCATTGAAGACCGTAGTGAGTAGTGAACTCGTAGTGACCTCAAGTTACATCTTGAAGCTACACCTATGGTCTGCTCTTTTTAGCTGCACTGCTGCACTTGTGAACTGCTGCGACAAAGTTAGAGTGAGAACAAATATAGATGTCTCACTCTGACTTGTTGCACTAGTTCAGCAGTGCAGCTAAAAAGAACAGCTCACTTGAGGCGATTGCCGATCCATTGATCCAGATGTTTCATTTACACCTTAATTGAGATCAGGGTATCAATCATGAATCTTTCCCTCTGGGGTGAACTAGGGTGAAAAAAGTGGACATTTCCATATGCTTTTACATATTAGAAAATTTTCACTTTTCACGAGTTCACGTTAAAGGAAGAGATGATTCATGATTGATACTCTGTACTTTGGATACGGAGGGGACACAATAGTACAGGGAGAGTAATCAGAGGCTGTGATGAACTTTGAATATACATAAGCAGCCAAAAATAAGAAACATGCGCTTCTCTCGCGTTTATGATTTGAAACAAACCATATGAGACAATTCGGTCAAATTTCTTTCAAGCTTGTACCTTTCGGAATCGATCTCATACAGCTGTCAACAGCTCTTCTCGATTGAATACACGACTTAAGTGTAAAAGTCGAGAAAATGTTTTACACAAGCTTTGTAATATCTGGTATATAACTATACATTTTTAGATTTTTCAAAAATTTTATTGTCAACGTACCTTTATCGCCCATTATTGTTTTTACAATCTTCATTTTCGGCATGAATGCGGTTTAAGTCTCTGCTAAATCTGATCCAATTGGTTTCTTATTTTTTAAGTTTCCGCTAGGAGCCGCCACTATCCTGTTGATGAAACAAAGCACGCGATTCAACAAAGATTCAAATCGATTTTTTTACCTTTACTATCTTTCGTTATTACTTTTTAATTATCTTTTATCTCTATTTTCCATCATTATCTTTTGTTTTCAAACAATACGGCTCAACAGCGAGTCAGACTTTTTATTTTTCGATAGCGTGAGACGAGGCGGATAAATTTGTCTCCGTGTATCTCGCGAAAAATAAAAAATCTTCCTGACGTCAAGTCACATCGCTGAAAAATAATAATCTCGAGGCACTGCGAGTGAAGCAGACACACGCAGAAACCTTACACGTCCGGTAAAATTTAGCAACAAAGTCATCATCGGTCGGACGTCGCTCGTCCTCGAACAGAGAAAAGAGATCTTGAATTCTGATTAATAAACGACTTCAGGGACGAAGGGACGAAGAGCAATTACACATTCGAGCTGGCGAAATGTTAAATCTTCCGCACACGAAGAGGAGAGTCAGATATTTTGCGCTTGATTGCACACAGGAGAGCAAGCGTGGTAATGGTGGTGATAGGTGGTGGTGGTGGTGGTGGTGGTGGTGGTGGTGGTGGTGGTGGTGGTGGTGGTGGTGGTGGTGGTGGTACTCTCTGAGATACGTTAACTTGCTAATATAATTTAATTTAATAATCTGGTCGTTTTACATGTGTGAAAAATGTACAAAGGAAGGAATAAAGGAGGGTCATGGACAGAGCCATGCTTATTTCGTCGGGCTCGGGGTGGACGTATTTTCCGGTTTTCCCTGTACACGCGCGAGCCAAAGTGTGTGTCCGAGCGCCTCGCTTATACACCCCGCGCCTGGACAACGAATAGTACGATCTGGCCCTGGCGACAGACAGAATAATCTCAGGCTGATAATTTCGGATAATTTATTAGAGTCCCTGGGTTACCTTCCCCTGAGAGAGGCAGCTTATCCTGATAAGAAAGCTATCTGTCTTCCTTCTCTCTCTCTCTCTCTCTCTCTCTCTCTCTCTCTCTCTCTCTCTCTCTCTCTCTCTCTCTCTCTCTCTCTCGCTCTCTCGCTCGCTCTCTCTCGTAATCACTCATCATCACACATCACTGATGAACCCTCGCAAGCCATTCGCTGACACCGGGCCCATTCGGAGGCCCATTCGTGGGATTTCGTACCTCCGGCTATCGCGCGAGCCTCCGTCCTCATCAAGCCCGCGTTTCGAGCGTGCATCTCATTGAAAAAGTTTCGTCAACGCACAAAGGGCCGAAGAGCGAGACGAGTTGCGGGGTAGGTAGGTCGTTAGGTCCGAAGGGGCCCGGTTGTTAGCCGAGGCATGGGTTACACACGCGTCGCGCAAAATACTCCTTCTGTTATCTCCCGTGTTTAAGAGCACCCTTCGGATATGGATACGTTGGGTCGCGAAATGAGGGACGAGAGAACTATGCGAACGTACCACGGGAGGGGGAGGGGGAGACGCGGAATCAAAATGGGTAAATGTGTGGGCTGTAGCGAACAAACGCGACTCTCGCTCGCCCGTCGGGACAATCGCGATTTCTCTCTCGCGAGCTCTCGTCGAGGTGACGCGCGATGGGGCCGAGAAATCAAAGAAGAATAGTGCCATCGCGACGCGTCACGTCGAGGCGGTCACGCGGAAAGGATACGTTCGCGGAAACACGAGAGGTGCGATTTAGAAAAGCCGTTTTCTCCGTGGCTGCCTCGCGAGGAGTCTTCCACTCGATCCCGCCGGTCGTGGGAACGCGCGCGCGCGGGTCCTCCCCTCGCGACCAAGCGGAACTGGATGGAGGTATGTGTGTGTATGTGGGATTGATGCACGTATCATTTATGTAACATACAATAATATAATTTATATATACGTAATGTATAATGAGGACTTATAAAATATTATCTACGAAGAGATAACGCGGCCGGCACTCTGCGCTCCTCTTGAACTTCACGAGTCCCTCGGATATGTGTGTGGGTATGTGTGTGTGTGTGTGTGTGTGTGTGTGTGTGTGTGTACGCGCGCGCAGAACGGATCGAAAGAAACGGGAAAGTCGAATTATACATATATATATATATATATATATATATCGGATCAAACGCGTAACGCTTCGTCGAAATCATGTTAACCGCTCGCGAGACAGCAACAGCTCGCGGCCATGACCATGTATGTATATATATCTATATATATATAATATATATATATATATATATAATGTATATACACACTCTCGTAATATGTATATAATATGTGCAGTCGTATGTGCAATATATTCTGTGGTTACACGATCGAGATGCGATAATATCTTACACATGCCTGTGTACGTGTGCTGATGTGTTTTCTGCTTGTGTAGATGTATGTATATGTGTGTGTGTGTGTGTGTGTGTGTGTATCGTCAATGCGAAAATTAGATTACAACGGATCAGCTGGGCAACAAACGGACGCTTCGTGCGCGATGTGACGCGACGACGCGAGTATGACTCGCTCGCGTTATGGCGAGATGGTGTGACGATTCTCTATGAACAAGCTCTCGCTTCTCCCTCGCCTCTTCGACCGATCGCAGACTCACGACGGTCTTCGGCCGAGCGAGTAACAGCGATAGCGAAGTAAAAAGTGTACGGTCGATATCCGAGCGTGCGGTGCAGCAGGGGATTGCATTCGCGTCGAATTATGTCGACGTACACGTGTGACAACAACGAAGGGTCGAGCGAACGAGAAAGGTCTGTCTGTATTTCTTTCGGTTTAAATTTCATTCTCCTTCTCAATCGTCCATCTTGAGCGAGACTCACGATGTGTTTCGAAGTCGCGAGTAAAGACTCGAACGGCTACCGAGCTCACACAGGAACGAGCAAAGAAGCTCCCCCAAAGACAGACTCCCAGCATTTCCGTAAACCATTTGTTTCGAAGACGCTCAGCTCGATTGATCTCGTAGACTATGTTCTTCGTACACGATCGTAGACATGTAACCGAGAATGAGTTTTGTCGAATTTGCGAATGACAAAAAGGGGAAAAAAAGTCTCTGTCTCACGCGCTTCCCGGCGCTTGTTCTCCGACTCGACGATGAATGAACAACAATATAAATATAGGCCCTGATATTCTCTGAACTCTCATCGCTAAAAGTGACTTCAAAAGTGGCTTACAGCAAATCAGAAGGCTTACGAGCCACTTTTATAGTCACACTTTTAATGATAAAAGAACATTCGGAATATGAGCGGAATATGAGTAGTTTTGCGCGGACTCGCACGACGAGAAGACTGCTTTTTGTCCCGCGTCTCTACGTCGATCGGTTCGCGAGTTACAGCCGATCTAGCCGCCGGCGCCTACCTAGCGACGTGGCGCTTGAGAGCACGTGGCGGCGGCGCGTAGAGCGCACGCGCGAGCCCGATGAACGAGAGCGGCGCGTGCTCGGCGGGGCGGGGCCGAGCGGTCAGCTGACCGCTCAGCTTACGCAATGCGTAGCCGAGCGCGTGTACGGCCGGAATGCGGACCATGGCCTACCCCACTCCGTACTACGTCAGCTGACCGGCCGACGCGGCCACGTGGTCGCTCGTTCGCCGTCGCCGCGGTGGGCGCTCGCGACGTAATCGTCGATATCTTCATTTCCGGCGGGGGTAGCGACCTTGGGATGCGATCGTTGCGAAGCTGAGACTTCCGCGTTCCGCCCGACAGACGCGCGACTGTTTTTCTCTCGGAAGAGGGGATTGATTGTTATAACTGAGAGAGATTTTTTGTATAATACAACGATTTCTATACCTCTTTGAGGATTCACCTGATTCCGTTTTAATTCGTCTGAAGGAGGGAAGCGATATTAAAGGATTGCAAGTATGTGTAGTACACATTGCGTGATTCTCGCGCGTGGGTCGTCGACGTTGCGTCGATTTTGAGACGTTGCTCGACCTCACAAGAGACCGTGTGAGAAACGTGGTGTTCGCAA